ATATGCGCACGAATCTATATCGTAACAAGGGGTGTTGTGTGGCGTTTTTTTAGCGTAAAGCGAAAGCAAATATCAGTAGTATTTCGTGTTGAGTTGAAACTGACACAAAAATAAGCGTTGCGGTCCGTTGTAATTCAAAGTTTGATATTTTGATTGTTTATTGGCAGAAGTTAATGCGGGCCGCTCGCTATCGTCAATGTACATATTTGGCCCAGCAGCATATAAATTTGCCGATCACCGTTTTAGCAATTTCATGTTTTTTGGTAATTTCTTGACTAAAACAGATATATATTTTCTAGCAATGAAGAATTAGGTCGGTACAGTTTTAATTGAATTTAATATATTATTAATACGAGTCCGAGCGAGTTTACAGAATAAAAAAATCTATACTCCCTTCAAAATTAGTTCTCCAATAAATATAGGTCTGACAATCATATTTGCTTACTTGAACCTAAAATTAAAAAAAAAAAAAAATTTCTGGGTACACCCGAAGTATGTGAACCAAGATGGCGGGCGCCGGAACGTATGTGTCTACTGTATGTGTAACATGTTAAGGTTAGGCAATCATTTCAGATATAAATACTACCGGAGTCACTTGACCAGTCCCTGAACTCGTGATAGAGCTAAAATAAGGCAAATCGGAAAGTTTGAGGACTCCCGTAGTATTTTGTACCTGAAATTATGGCCTAACCCTATCCTGGTACACATACTACGTTCCGGTGCCCGATATCTTGATTCCCATACTACGGGATCATGGGACCTCATGCTGCATGGTTTTAGATAGACTGAGAATGTTATTTTTGATTTTATAGCCAATGGGCGACTTATAGGCTAGTAGGGGTGATTATATATGGGATATTTGTACTGATACTAAACTATGTATTATTAATATTTTTCACAGTGGTCAATATACTATTGCTAAAGACGTCAATGAGGTTATTGCGATTTAAAGTTCAAACTACTGCTACTACCATAGATTTATTATGTACAATTTTATTATTCTGAGCTATACATCAGTCTCTATTTGTTTTTATGTCATGTGTGAGGAACTTGGTTCAGTTAATTTGTTTACCCAAATACTATAACCGTCCGTGATGCCGTCTTTGATTATTAGAATTTAATATGTGACGTAATAGTATTGGGGTGTTGTCAAAAACTGAATATAACTGAATACAACTGAATACAACTGAACACAACTGAAAACAACTGAATACAACTGAATACAAAAACTGAACACAACTGAATACTACCGCACACAACTGAATACACGGCTCGTGGCACGTGACATAAGTTTTAAAATGAATACAACTGAATATAACTGAACACAGCTGAATACAACTGAAAACAACTGAACAAAACTGAATACGACTGAACAGAACTGAAAACAACTGAATACACGCAACGAATACAACTGAATATAACTGAACACCACTGAATACAACTGGAGAAAATGGCACGGGACGCATAAGATTCGTGACGTCATCACTGATTACGTCATAATAGATAATGCGAATTTTAGAGATAGCCCCTCAAGCAATACATCAAACGTTTCAGAAGGATGAGGCGGTTTCATTACGGTTATTTGTGGCGTGATTGGTGACGTCATTGCTGATTACGTCACAATCGATAATGCGAATTTTGGAGATAGAACATCGAGCAATATAGCAAACGTTTCAGCAAGATGAGGCGGTTTCAATACGGTTATTTTTGGCGTGATTGGTGACGTCATTGCTGATTGCGTCACAATCTAAGATTTGAATATTCGAAATATACTGGCGTGCAGTATAATGCACCTTTGAGACAAACGAGATGGTTTGAATGTGGCGACTTTCGACTAAATTTATGACGTCATTAGTGGTTACGTCATAATATCAAATGCAAAATTTCAACATATAATCACGACTAGTATATCAAACGTTTCTGAAAATGAGACCATATTATTACGGTCATTCGGCGTGTTTAGATACGTCACCGCTGATGACGTCAAAATATTTCGACGTGATTTGTGGCGTCATCACTAATTACTTTATTGACGCTCGTGCAAATTTTTGAGATTGAGGTAACACGAAATCACTGACAATGTTACATGATGCATACTCAGTTTTGTCTACGAAGCAAAATATACGCGTGGCTTGTTTAGGAGGTAATCAAAATTTGCCTAGAGTGAAGAACAGTGGTTGAATGAGCGCCGATGCTTGTACATATGATATCATTTTATTTTGATACAAATGTATAGGAATCGTGTGGCCTCTCGTTTGGTTGGTAGCCAATATTGGGTATGGTGAGCTAGCTAGATATTTCAGGTGCATGAATTTGACTTAATGATGGAGGAAGCCGTAACCGATCAGCAGTTACGTGAACCACATTGCGACGGCGATAAGGCCAGCAAATCTGGATCCAATGAACTGAACCGCCTGCCTTCTTTTTATGGGATGAAGGTGCTTTAGTCTTCCTATTGTCTTGCATCCTGTGCCGGTATCTGCGGTACTTGGTGCAGTAAACCCAAACCAAGAACAAACTGAAAGGCGAGCATGATTATCTTAACAACAGCAAAGAAAAGTATGTAACATCACGTTTTGTTTTATTCGTGCAAAGAAATGACATGTTCATTAAAGCATACACATCAGCCTAACCAACGTGAAAACAATGAACTGTTAAACACCAACACACAAACGAACTGTAATAAAAGATAAAAACACGAAGCCAGTGACTATTTTGTCCGATAGCTCATCAAAAACACTGGATGAATAAGCTATGTGTAGTGAATATTAGTCTGTGTCATAATAGGAGCCACGTTACATCTCTCCATCTACTTTTTTGCTGCTCTTTCGGCCCTAGTTCCCTTCTTTTGTCCCGGCTTTCTGGCAATGTGCGATTTTCTTGGACAAAGAAATGCTGGGTTCGACGCTTCTTCCATTTCGTTTTCAAGGGGAATATGGGAACGGTCTTTTCAAAAATTAATTTTGAAATATTTTCTCTTTTTGGCCCTCTCCCATCTCTCGCCATACTGCATTGCTGTAGGAATACTTTTTGAACCTTGAACTTAGGGAATAATTGCCCCTGCCGTGAATGGCTCTCCGCATGTCTGTGTACTGCAAAATAGCATGGTCTTTAAATTTTTTGATTAGTTGAGGCAGCTTTTGTGGCTTCCAATCAATGTCAACTTTTATGAGGTTGTTCATCGACTCAGAATTGTTGTTGGTCCACAGCGCTTTTTGCATTAGCCCATTCCTCGGTTTGACAAACGTACTCTGCAAGCAGAGGCATAATCTGTGCAGTTATATACCTCTTGATATCTTCGGGGAACTTTGAATAAGCCTTTTGCATTCGACAGATTTGGTTTCAAATTCCTCATTTGAAACTGCTCTGGCAATTCCATCATCCCCGAAAAGAGAGGATAACAGCATTTTTTTCGACTCTTCGGAAATCGACCCCTTTGTCCGCAACAAACGCTGCAACATTTTGGATCAAGTGTCGTGTGCATAGAAACCGCTGAACTCCCGGAAACACTTGTCAAGAGCTTTTGTTAAAGCAAACTCGTTGTCACTTCCAATCCTAATTTCCGAAGTGAAAGCAGTGGTTGATATCCTGAAGCTCAAGTGAGAGAAAAAGTGACAATATGTCGTGAATTTCCATCCCAGTGGAGGTAAATTGGGCCCAAAATATAGGATTTTCACCAGTGCTATTTCTTACAACTTTCGACTGCTTGTACACTATTATAGTGGCATAACAGGCACCAAGGTTAAACGTGCGATCAACACCCAAAATTGTTTTGTCACTTGTTGTTGAAGCTATTCGCTTGACATCAGCGAGCTGATTGTTGGTATACAAAATCACACAGGGTGGGGAACCTTTGATTACCGATGCCTCTCGCACGAAGTCATCTATCTGTACCATGCTTAGCACATCAAGAACCCCATCAGCGAAAGTGAACCCTCTGTACCCCAACTGTCTTTTTTGGCATGCATTTTCCTATATCTCACTTGTCGATAGTCCCTCGGGGCATGAATCGAATCTTCGCCAATCATTTTCTTATAGATTTCCCTTGTGGACATCCTCGACTGCACATGATCATCGATGTTTTTTACAACTCCAGGAGGTGTTCTTACATACTCACGCTTGTTTCGTTTTGTATTTCCATGGGGAGGCATGGGCTGTTTCGGAAAAGCTCCCAGGTATTCAACGACAGCTTTCCCTTCACCGATGCAGGAACCATCGTAACCACGAAACCAGGACACCCGTTTTCGATAGTTCGTGTTAGCCTTTAGTTTGCTGTAAACTCTATGAAGATTAGGATATCTTGGGTGTTGGGCATTGGCCGTACATGCTCTTTCCTGAATTTTCCCCCGGACTTTTCTCTGTGTAGAAGCCATCTTTATCTTTTCTGACGAATTTCAGGTTGCCATTTTCTTCAATGAGGAAATATGCTCTGGTAGACCCTGCTTTTACACCACACCACGCGCCACAATCATCTGGAACAAAATTCCTCTTGTTATTTTTCCCAACTGTACCACGAATCCAATGTTGCTTTTCGGACCAGTGGGGATTTCTTTTTCAGCAATAACCTCTGCCAGCATAGTTGTGTAAAGTTCATTGGGTGCAAGAAATCTGCCACTCAATTGTATTTCACGCTTCATCATTTGATGATTCGAAAGCAGTAGATGGACTTGATGTGGTAATTGGTGTGGTAGCCCTCATCTTTTTTGGCTCGAACGCACCAGCAGAGTCATCGCTGTCGTCACTGATATCCCAACCAAATTCAAAATTAATCTGGTCAAAACCGATGCTAGTATCAGAACTGGTTTCATCAAAATTGAGTTTTCCAAATTTGAATGGGGTAACGCCTGGAGAGTCAGGAATAGTATTCAAAGCCTCCTTTACTGGGGTAGAATGGAGAGCACCAGGATTAAATTCAGTTTCTTCAACAAGTGGTACAAAGTGATTTGGAATCCAGTCAGAAGTCATCGTCAGTTCTGTTGTTGTCCACATAATCCACAGATCTACGCCAACTCTTTCTCTAGGCTTGATGCAATTGCTGAGAAACTTTGGATATAAGTCCCTTGTCCCATTAACAGGGGGTACAGCATGTTCACTTGTCTTTTAATGATGTTAGAGAGTGCCATTATTGTCCAAGCTGAAGAAAAAGCACCAATACGAGTACAGTCGACACAGGCTTCGCGGTAGTCCGGGGACACATGACAAACAACTCTCCCCATATCAGACTGAATGTATTCGTCTTCATTATTGACCATTTCGATGCAAGTTCTTGTCCGAAGCTCATTAGCCATATCTTCAGAATCATTCAGAAGCAACGACACTGCGTTGAAAAGACAATTACCATCTGCTGTAGTCTTAAGTGGGCGTTTGCCTTTCTCCAGTCCATGCTTTCGCAATATGTCCAGTGAGTGACGATCAGTGGATGTATGGTACTTGGTGATATCTTTTTCATGACTTATGAAATATGGCATGATATGCTTTTCCCTGATTGTACATGCACAAAAAATGCCCCAATTCTTCTTGGCACTCTAGAAATAGAAATGGAGATTAGTTGTGAATCACCAATCACAAAATTTATGGAAAATGATGGTTAATTTCGCTATCAAGCATCCCTAATGGCGTTTCCACCATCACAATACTTTAAAATTCACATTGACCCCATTGAGCGGGAACCATCCGGGGTTTGTCAAACCGATTGGAACAGACACAAAATCCCATTTTCACCTTCGGGAAAAGTCGTCATATGGTTATGGAGAATGAAATTCCGTAAAATCTTTCCCATCAATACTGTGCTTAATCTATACATAATCGAATGGACTGTGTTCACCCGTTTTACTAACAATATATCCATCAGACAAGCAATTTTCATTCCCAAATTTGTAATAAATTCCGTCATGTGGAAATTCATTATTTCATAGTTATTTTTCATCGTGTTGACATAAACAGCGTTAACGTCTCGTGGCAATCCGTATTTACTAACTGCACTCAATATAATAATAATTTATAGCCTCAGTAACTCTTGGCAATTTAGCGATCGTCCGTAACTTTGCTCAGAGATCAGCGCCTACATTTTGAGCGAGTGCGCGTGACTTTACTTTTAATAAATTTCTTTATAAAAACACTAGACGGATGATGCACAATCTGTAATTAGGTCTATAAGAACGGAAGAGCGGTGAATTACTTACTCTGCGTAAGCGATGGAGTGCAGTCAAGAAGTCGAATGAACCATCGTCTTCCGAAGAGCACTTTCTGCATATATACGATGCTTGCGAGAGGTTCCCAAGTTCCATGATAGATTCTTCTTTCAATTTCTCGCAGGTGCCGTGGAACCAGTTTCCACATATTTCGCATAAAATGCTGTGGCTTCCTTCGGCACAATTCTTAAAGCATATGCCGCATGGTGATTCACTGGATTGATCCATCTCCTTCAGTTCTTAGTGACAACTTGAATGGACTTTCTCAGTAAAAATAGTCTAGCTAAATCAATTGCATAAGTTACCTAATACATCCAAGGGAAAGAAAGGTTCGATGAAATCTTCGCTTGGTACGAAGCAGATTTAACAGAATTGTACAGGCTAACACGTAACAGAGAGGCAGCAGGGCTGAGTGCTGTATACATAAGGCTTTGGTCGCAATCATATAACGGTTGGTATTCATCCGAGGGCAAGCGATACAGATTTGTAGTCCTGTCGTAAGATACCTTGGTTACTACTCGCATAAACCACTTACGAAATTATTGCTTATGATCTCATCGGAGAACTAAGACCAACGAGCATCCAAATAACCTAACACCTTGCGCGGGCGAAGTGTCAGAAGTCTTGTTTGAGGTTTGAAACGACATCTGGTGACCTGTGACCCCGGAGACAAGTTTTCAGCGTCAAATGCGACACTAAACTAATTTTCGCAATTTGATCATGTGGTAATATTATTAAAACAAGCGAAAATATTCAATCCAGGTGTCAGTGATTCATCGCCAAGTGCTTTAGTTAGAATACAAAACACATCCTTCTTCAGCACTTCCGTAAGCAATCCCGTACTTAACAAGGAATAATGGGTGGTTTGCAGCTAGGCGGTAGGCTACAGCGTGCTCAGCGTTAGGAATACACTCGACATCGCACCTTCGATCCCTCTGCGTGGGTTTGCAGGTCCGTATCACATTCGGAGGTTAATTTTATGCGAGAGGGTTGCTGTACTCCTCGACACTATTCACGTTACCGCTGGTCGGTTACGGATTTCTTCACCATCAAGTCCATACCTCTAAAAACAAATACCGTATATGCTCGTTTAACCGCCCGGTCTTGATTAAGCGCCCGTTTGAATAGCCGCCCGGTGTGAAAGCTGATTTTTCAGTGGTAGAGAACAATAGGAAATAAGAAGCGTATTATGAGGAATTACTCTTAAGACGTGAATAATTTGCGTTTGACATGGAAAAAGGATTAATGTCGTCAAATATTTGTCTTCAAAGATACCGGTATCGTAATTTTTGTGTATAATTTCACTTTAAAAATAACAAGCGCTCCTGCTTGAATAAGCGCCGGTTTGAATAAGGGCCAGGTTAGTGAGTTTGTTTAAAAAAAATAAGCGCCCGGGCTATTAAACGAGCAAATACGGTAACTGGCTAACTAACCCACACCTGACATGGATGGTAACCGGACGAGAGGTCGTGGTTAGCCCTAGGATCAAGCCGTCTTTTGTACTTTACTCTCCCCGGGGATAAATATGTAAACCTGTCAAACAACTGAAAACGAACTGTCTTTACTAGTGTGCACACGAATATTTAGATCTGCAAATGGACTGCAAGCAATCTATCGTGAACATCCGATGCCACAATAAGCCGCATTATAATACAATAGTATGTTAAATAGTAGGCCTAAGCAGGGGTCGGCAACCTTTTATCGCTCGCGGGCCAAAATTAAAGCTTGCAAGTCATTAGCGGGCCGCACATATTTTAAAAAAAAGTTAAAAACCGAATGGATGGCCAATGAATCACCTTTTTCACACAGATCCGACGTTAAATTTCAAACAGCGCGCGAAGACTGATCATTTGAATATTTTCTGCGCCATTAAACCATTTGGACTCGGCATCAACTACGTTTTGTTGCCATTTGTCTAATTATAATAAAATTATAGGCCCATTAAACGAGATTTATATACTTGTTAGATTATAATATAATTTAGTCTAAATCAGTGAAGCGTCGCGGGCCGGATTATATTGCTCGGCGGGCCGGATACGTCCCGCGGGCCGTAGGTTGCCTACCCCTGGCCTAAGCTATAGACAGGATCGAATCTAGACGATGAGAAATAAACAGGCTACGACATTTGTGGCCCCTCTTCAACAATGAGATCTTCATAGAATATATTATGACGCGATGAATTGATTTTGAAAATTGCTTGAAAATGAATTATAGTTCAAAAATTAAATGTTGAGACGAACACGCGGCGGTGAGGGGCGGATCTGGTCGGAGAACACCGTCATAACGAAATCGCCTCTAGTTTTCGGAATCATAAGAACTATACCTGTCCCTGTGCTATTTCGAAAATTCGCATTGGCGATAACGATGTGATATGTGATGATATCATCAATCACGACAAAAGTTACCGCACTCAAATCATCTCGTTTTTATTAAGGGTGCATTATACTGCACGTCACTATATTTCGAATATGCACATTTGTAATTGTGACGCAATTTGTAATGACGTCACCAATTATGACACGAATAACCGTAATGAAACCACCTAATCTTTCTGAAACGTTTGACGCGTTGCTCGAGGGGCTATCTCCAAAATTCGCAATATCAATTATGACGTAATCAGCAATGACGTCACCAATCACGCCAAGAATAACCGTAATGAAACCGCCTCATCTTTCTGAAACGTTTGATGTATTGCTCGAGAGGCTATCTCCAAAATTCGCATCATCGATTATGACGTAATCAGTGATGACGTCACGAATCTTATGCCTCCCGCGCCATTGTCGAGTTGTATTCAGTGGTGTTCAGTTATATTCAGTTGTATTCGTTGCGTGTATTCAGTTGTTTTCAGTTCTGTTCAGTCGTATTCAGTTTTGTTCAGTTGTTTTCAGTTGTATTCAGCTGTGTTCAGTTATATTCAGTTGTATTCATTTTCAAACTTATGTCACGTGCCACGAGCCGTGTATTCAGTTGTGTGCGGTAGTATTCAGTTGTGTTCAGTTTTTGTATTCAGTTGTATTCAGTTGTTTTCAGTTGTGTTCAGTTGTATTCAGTTGTATTCAGTTATATTCAGTTTTTGACAACACCCATAGTATTGCTATTTTGTTGTTCGTACTGTTTACAACACACCACAAGGAAATGAACATCCTGTGCTGATAGTGCTTGCCGTTTCGGAGTGCAACCTTGGTTTCCGGGACTATTTGGTATTGGCGGTATCCGTACACCCTATGTTGACAGGGTCCACGCTCCACAATTAATCCATAAACAAGGCTCTGTGCCAACAGTTACTATCAAAGCAGAAGCAGGAAAAATCAATCTGATATCAATTTGTGGGATACAATTTTTGCTAAAACTGCAAAGATGTTTTTGGCAGAAATTTTTTAGAAGATGCATATAATATACCTCGAGAGAGTAGAGTAATCTCGTGGATAGAAGGGGATTTTCAAGGGATATCAAAGATTTGAATACAAATACATTTTATTTGGCTTTGAACAGATCGAATTTGCAATCGAAGAGTCGAAAATAAAATAAAAAGAGAGGAGGCTCTTCTTTATCACTGCTCTGCTCACCAGATAGCTGAAATGCAATCACGGAATCACCACACAAAGCGCAATCAATTCAATTTTGATGACGTCACGATCGAGTGATATTTTCACAACAACAAGAATACTAACGATAATTTAACAAAATTATCTGTATAGGTCCTCTTCATGTCCCATAATTACTTTTATATTGATCATCAACTTATAGCGTCTGATCTGTGTGATATTGCATGACATGATCAATTCGGGTGTTCAAATTTTAATCGCGGAGTCCAGAATGACTAGGATCTACTTATCTCGATAAAGACTCTCAACTGATTTCTAATAAAAAAAAGAACTATCTTCTTGCAGAAGAATGAATTTACTAATAAGAAATAATATATAAACAAGCAAGTTATATATACAATGAAAAAACAAATAAAACGAAACACTTTAAATAAATCAGCACATTAAATCTGAAAAAAATAACAAAGCTATGAGATAAACGACATTTCAAGTAAATTAGAGGTAAGGTAATCAACCCAATGCAATTATCTTTCTTTTGCAATGATAAATGATTTGTTTGTAATAAAACTTAGGCAGAAGACTAGAAAAAAATGTTTATCTTTGCATTAACATTCAATACAACTTTTTTTGTTCATTGTTTTCTGATATAATGTTCATCAATATTTTACAACTTCATATGTCTTATTTCTGCGGACTTGATGTCGAATTCGGCATAACACGCATGGATAATGCAAATGTTCGTGTGGTGTTGCGTGTAGAGAATTGATTAATTGGTTCAGTACAGCAAGGCATCACCGTTTGTTTCCAGTCAGTAAATGACAAAGTAACAACAACAAGGTCGATGAATTGTCCTGTGGAGTAGAGAATTGGTCCAACCCAATCATGTTTTACAAATCCGCTAATAAAAATTATTAGAGCTCCGGAAATGACAAACGCTAGCGCTGAAGCAAACGCCCGCTGTAGGACGTGAAGCATATCATTCGTGTTTTTCGTATCATTATCCATCCATTTTGACTCTTTTCGATGGTTATAAAGCGGGTGGGCGAAAAGAAATAGTAGTATGGATTGAAGAAGTATAATTGTGATAAAAAGTGCAATCCATACCATGGTCATAACTTTATCACTATCTACAAGCTTACAGTCATAGTTTACAATCTCATAAATGGGATCAATCATAGAAAATACAATACCGATACCAACATGCCATATAACAATCAACGATAGCGCAGCAGCACTTAGGGTTCGGGTGAAAACATTTGTCAAATCCCGCAGTACTGAGTTATTGTATAACATTCTTTGTCTGAGCCAGAATATAAGATATATAGTAAGGCTCCCAACATTTGCTAGTGCCCCCTTACTTATTTCTCCGATGTAGCAATATCCAGGGATACCTTTATAAGAAAACACTCTAAAACCTGCGCTGGTAACACTTTCAAGAAATATGAGTAATGTCATAAAAATTTTAACCACTCTCATTATCTTAGCCAACATTACAGCTTTAGAGTCTCCTTTTCGTGAAGTGAAGTTGATCTCTTTATGAATGAAAACTACGAACAGGTACAATGCACTCGCTGCAACCCCAAGAGTTAAAATGATGAAGACGGTCCAATACATCGCTGCGTTTGGTTCATGGGTTTCGTTTACATTGTAATATGAGCTAGTTGCATTTTGAGAGAATTGCTCCATCTTCATAAAAATCGCAATAGGTAATACAATTTTCAATTTGAAAGCTTTAGTAGACTTTTTTATTCAAATTGGCCGCACCTTTTTTGTTCGCCTACTTTACATCAAGTTGTGTGAAAGGACTGATACTTGTATGCAAGGGGTATATTCCATTGACTAACACAAACAGTCCGTGAAATTGTAATCGAACTAAAATAGGAAAAATCGGAATAAATTATGGCCTAACCTTAACCTGGTACACACTACGGGAGTATCCAAAAATTGCACGTTAGAATCTTTTACTAACTCACGCCTTTAAGCTTTTGAACATAGAAGCTTCTCCAGCAAGTTCATTAATATAAATGTTAAAGTTTCTGTACTTAGAAATCTTTAAGTAAATCACCCTTCACCGTATTATTAATTGAATGTGAATAATAGATTTCTCCTGCGGGGCATGCTCTCATTACCTCATACGTGTAATACAACGAAGTACACAAATAAGAGTAATTAAAAACATCATTACGCGTTGTAAAACTTATTGTGTATATTCGCATTGGATAATATCCACAATAACATTCCAAATTTACTGAAACCACACAAATTAAACCATTGAAAGTACTCATCTTGAAATGTGAACAAACAAGTCGTGAGCTATGAGATGCAATTTCTGTATACTAATTATGAATCAATTTAAATATATACTGGGCGATGTATTCAATAAAAAGTTCATAAACAAACATGTTCTGACGATTGACAAGTAAAGATGACAAAGTAAAGTAGTGATGAATAGTAAAGTAATGATGATGTATTGAATAAGTCGACGAATAAATAAGAATTTTCTTGTCGTCATTGTCCCTTTTTCAGTAGGTTCCTCCGAATTGGAATAAGAAGTAAAAAAAATTTGAAAATAAATGTTCATTGTCATCGGGCAAAATTTTTCATATTATGGCAAGAAAAAAAAACTAAAAAAATATTTTATAGATTTCTAGCAGCACAGTATTCTTTAACTAATAGTTGGAGGTTAGACATGTTTATTGTTGTAGATTACAAAATTATATTTGCTGAACGCACGTTAATAAATGAAAGTGCTCATTCATTGCCCTATTGAATTGGATCGTTTTGTTACAATATTGTTGTTGGTATTCATCTTGGTATTCTTTAATTTGTTGTTGCAAAAGAAATCACTTCCCTCGTCAACTCAGGATCAAAAAATTGCTTTGAACTTTCTAGTAGTTAGGTTTTTGTCACCAGAAAGGCTATTTTATTTTATTTATTTTAAAAATTTCTGTGGGTTCTATTGGATTCGTTTTTTACTTCGAAGTTTGATGCGGTGATGCCATGAAAATTGGAAATAGCGCACTGTGTGGCATATATTTTAGCTTCAATAAAAATCTTTAAAAACAAATGTATACACAAAAAACTAACAAAATCAATAATTGATTTTATGCACTTACAGGGTCTTTTTGGCTAAAATTGCGTGACAGGCTGTTGAACCATATACATATTGTTCATATTTGCTGTTGTAGCTTGCGCAGTTGTAGTCTCTAAATGCAACGTAATTAATTAATGCCATAACAATGTCATATAAATTGTTATTATTTATCTGGCAATTTTCAAAGTAGTAAAACAAGACAAGACGGAATATACATATTTACCAATTGCAACAGAAGTATTGATCGGTTGCTGACTTGAAATTAGTTTGTCAGTATCTGTAGTTTGCTCAGGTATCGTGGGTGAAATTATGGCAAGAACGACTCCTAAAACGACGATAACTATAAGAAACACAATGATGAAGACGCCGATAGCGATCATTTTCTTTCTACTAATTCGAGTTTCTTCTATCACGGTATCTGTGTTTTCTTAAAAATACGATTTGAATAAAAAATTCAGTCGACACCCTAGCATTTAGACGTAAAAAATTCATTTGTTAAACATGCAAAAAGCAAAAGTCCCATACTATTCTTTGGCCTATGTTAATTTTTAATGTAAAACAAACGAGCACATACAATTTATGATATTAGAAACGTCTGGTCAGAAAGTACATTGTCAATAAACAATACAGTCAGCACCATGTACTAACATATATGAAATTGATATAACTCATTTTCTATTCTACGCCAAATAAATATATATATATACGTTATATTATCTTACCTAAATCTGACATATTCTCTTCCAAATTTTTTGATTTGAATTATGAAATACCTGTGTCGCTGACATGATGACTTTTGATAGTCTTTTCGCGATCCCTCGTCTATTGCAGTCCAAATATTGTACCTCTTTCTTTCAATGTATTTATTTAATTTTTACCATTTGTTTAAATGTACAATGTTTTTGCACGACGAAAAATAAATATCTGAATCTGAATCTGTTTTTCTAAATAGTGTTTTTGTTGAATTTTCTAGTCAGATTACAGATACTAATACCAATATAAGCCAGTATTGTCATAACTTGATACATTAATGACTTCCTTGATCAAATATATATTTATAGTTGTATAAAACTTCCTGTAAATTAATCATCGGACGAAACATAAGCATTTTCATCGATATGAGAAAACTTCTTGTTCGTCAATATTTGAAGTATAAATACTGATACAGGGTTCGAATATTTAAGTCATTTACCTCCATGATTAGAAAACATATTATTAGTACTCTATACGATCGGCCTGGTCATAAAGGGGTGCCCTGTGTCATAATTTGGGATTATGGCTAAATTAAATGTATTTTGGGGGGTCAATAGTATTTCATAGTGGTCTACTTGTGAACAAAACCAATTTCAAAACTCAAAATTTTTGAGTTTAAATTATCCATGCTTGATCCGAGTGTTCTTAATTACGGTGACGTCATCATATTTTTTATGTATAATTTTTATTTTGCTACAAGGTCAATTTTATTGGTATGAATGTTTCAAAGCTCAAAAATAAACAAAGAATCTGTTGTTAGTTGAAAACGAAGTATTTTGAACGCGCGAGCAACGTTCTCCGGCTCATAAAAAACAAACAAAGATACCAGACAGCACGCGATCAATTGCTCTTCGATAAAACGAATATCACTTCACTTCAAAATCCCACTCTTGTTTTATTTTGAAGGTGACGTAAAGCTCGTCCATGGAGAACTCTTTCTCTCGCATATCAATCACGTGTTGACCACAGCGTTAAAAGTGAGAAACTTTTTCTCGAATTTTTTTGAAATTTCTCTCTTCTTACCGGCGTATGGTCGGACGCATTCGCGCTACGTAATTTGGGCGCATTTTATTGGAAATAGACGAAAATAAGCTTTTTAAAGGTATATTGGAAAATGTACTAGCCTGTTTGATTAACTATTTATGTCATATTATAAAATGGGTATAAAAAGTCGATTGGGACCAACGTATATAAAGGGTTGTAATGTAAAAATGTAATTTTCAGCAAGTTTCTGAAAATATTTTGAATAGCCATGATAAATTATGCTCTCTACATCATACAGCTATGACTTGAATAAAAAAAAGAGTCGAAATGGAATCAAAGTGGTATTTCAAATCGGATATCTCTGTTTATCCATTTATTTCAATGTCTTCAGCACAATGGGTATTTCATCATAATTTCTGAAGCAATGTAACTGACCGTCTAAGGCAGAAGTGGACAACTTCTCTAGTCGGTGGGCCGGATTATAACATGAATAGTATTCAATATATTAATCACATATTTATTCGCTAATGCAAGAAAGTAAATTATAAATCGCGTTTAAAGTAAAGTTTAAACTTTACAAAAAATAGAGACCAAATAACACATAATGAATTTATCATAATGTACTAAAAGTGTAATAATGTAATATCATAATGTACTTATGTATAGTCTGCGGGCCGGTCAAAATCTCGTCGCGAGCCGGACCCGGCCCGCGGGCCGTATGTTGCCCACCCCTGGTCTAAGGCATGTTCATCAACGTATTTAACCACTGTTTTTATCTTTTTTGCATCATGTACCAACTTAACAAATCCAAGAGACACATTTCAACAGTATATATATGCCTTTACAAGAATTTTACAAATGACAAGCTAATTGGTTTGCCATTCAAGATCAAGGAGACAGTAAATTTTAGTAATATCAGGTGGTCAACTAAATTATATTGGTAATGTCAATTACGTTAAAATTTTAGTTGTGGATAATTTTGACTAAATTTGAGAAACGGAAGTTTTGAAATGATACCGAATCTCAATAGTTGAAATAGCTGATAAATTGAAGCGATGGACAATCGTTAATCGTGTTAAGCGGAAGCAGTTTCAAAAACCCGATACCGTAGTCAAAACCAAATCGATCAGTCCGACTGTAGTTCGCGATGTGTTCAAAAAATTCTTCAGATTATTTTTCAACAACGTCCACAATATTATTATTTTTTTTTACCGAAGCTATAAGAGTAACAAGCGAGACATAGTTTATAGTCAAGAATTATTAGTGACAAAAATACATTTTCGTAATACTTTTTTAGTGAACCAGCAAAATTGCACATAATTATTTCTGTGGTCGCCACACTTCGAACTATTTCGTATCAAGTGAGGAATTCAAAAATTTGGTTCTTTACAGCTTTATGATTGTAACAATTATGGTAAATGATCCCACGAAAACAATTTTGAACAACTGGTATAGTACACTGCAGTCATTCTATAATTCTTTTAGATTGTGGCATAGATCAGAATGACATTTCAAATTTGCAAACACCCAAATGAAAGCATTTGAATAGAATGCATAAACTAATTAATTACCAGTAAATATTGATATCGTAAAAATTCGACGTGCCTCAACAAAATACTCTAGCGCGCTTGCCTATGCTCTGCTCATTTCATATTAACGTTGATGAAATAATCACTGGGTCATATTTAATTACAATATTCGTTTTCATACTACATTTGTCCCAGGAGCTGAACTTGTGCTATATGTTTGTCATTGTTTATTTTACATATTTGTATCTGATATAGGGGAATGGATGATATATTATTATGGCAGTAGCTGCCATTCTCAGTTCTACAAATTACCACGAGGGTTTGGTTTCAAGTTCCTGGATTCAAATTTTAAAATTTACAATGTCTCTTTTATAATTTATGTTCGAAAAGTGTAGTCGGAAATTTATTTTTGGATGAAGTTATTTACACAAAAATTGATAATAATTGACAAATAATTGATTTTCATGTTCCTGAATTCAAATTTTAAAATCTACAATGTCTCTTTTATAATTTATGATCAAAAGAGTAGTCGGAAATTTATTTTTAGATGAAGGTATTTACACAAAAATAAACAAATTATGAAAATGACTTTGTACAAAGCTTCATGATCAAGAAGTTGTTGCCTCAAACGACGCGACGTCTCTTTCTGTCAAATATAAAAAAAAGTAATAAACTACTGAAATGTTTTCATGGGATAAAATCAGAACAAATTCCTGATCAAATAATACACGTGTGCAATGCACAATTGATTATATCAAATCAAGCTGTAAGATTCGCATGGAATTTGATAAGACAAGAATCTCCGAACACATTCTAAGAAAAAAGAAATGGAAAAGAATGGGAAAACCAAAAACTATTGTGTAAAATCCAACTATATATTAAAACATTTGTACAAAATTCAGACAAACATGTAACCGTCACGAAAGCAAACTTGTGGGTCACTGAATATATTATAACACAAAAAATTGTTAGTCAAGAAAATAGCAAAAAATTATTAATTCACCTTGTTGTTCGGGCTGATCAACAATTGATCTTTTTCGCTTTCTTTTCCACGCCGGAGTAGCCATTCTGAACGCGAACAATCATGAATAATTTACCAAACAATAGCTTTTGTTATTTTTCATTCAAGATGAATTTAGAAAGTTGCATTTTTGTTGTGCGGTATTACATCATTGTCAAAGAGATGTGGAAAGGCTTTATTTAACGTTCAGCAACTAAATGCCACATTTATAAACTTTGATTGCACCAATAATCTCTTAACTTGGTATCATTAAACATACAAGAAGAAAATTCAATATTAATCTCTGCTAATCATAAATATTAAATGAAACATTTTAATTGAATACCTTGTAGTTGGGTCTGGCGGGGAGGATTCCTGGTTTTTATCTACACTGCTTTGAGATGAGTTTACCATGTTAAACATCACTGTACATATTATAAAAAACACGCAGAAAATTTGCAACTTCATGTTTCGATCGTAGAACAGGTTCTATATTGTGTAAAAATATTTAATTCTAAAGAGAAACAAGTTTTTACTTGTAAATTACTAATCCGTGATCCAAACCTCTGTAATTTAAATTTATCAGACTTAGTATATATTCCCGAAATAATTGGCCAAGATAGTTGGAATTGTGAGAGAATTTTGCACTGAAATTATCTCAAGCCGTTCGTTTGATCTGATTATTATTTTCATCTTTATATCAAAAGTTTTGTGAAACAAAATAGCCACCGATTGAAAAAGTACAACTCTTATGAAAATTTGAATCAGACATACATACATCTTACATTCATTGGCTCACCAAGAACTTCTTGATATATCGGTAATATGCCCGTATGCTGCTTTTTGAAAACTTTATTATGAGATTGTCCGTCTTTTTACTTAAATAATTTAGCCAAAATGTATCATTCAGTCAGTCAGTTCTAAAATATTAAGATTAAGAGAAATTTTGAATTACACTTTGTGACAAACTTGCTATTTATAGCATCCTTCAATACTCTTCGGTAGAAATCTTATAAATTGAATTATGAATGATAGGTATTTTCTGTTTTCAAGGGTATCTAAAGAAGTAAAAATATTTCATATACTGGCTGGTTTCCATATTCTGCATCGCTGTAACACAAAATTATCATTTTCTACGGTATAAAGCCGAAACTTGTCAGTCAACCACTGTTTGACGAGGTCATGAGTTTTAAATGTGAGGTTTCTTTCATTTTGAAACACTTTGTCTTCAAAATTTTTAATTCTCAACAAACATTGAAAAAAGCTATTGAAAGCACTAAACCCCGACATAAAAAGAGGTCGAAACAGCAAGACAATCTCAATTCTAATTCAATCATGTGAATGATCTTCACTGTCATATACTTATTCACGAAATATTACTGGGCTTCGCAAAAACAAATTCTCTTATATAATTTTATTTGAATACATCAGATTATTATGAATTGGAGCATCCTAATTAAATAATGTGAGTGAGAACGAATCATTACATCACCACAGTAATTTTGCAGATCATTTACTTCAAATAATTGATTCCATGAAAATTGATGATTCGTGAGGATATAAAATGCATCGATTCAAATTCTGCATCGATGGTTTAATGGGCGTCGTTATATCATCGAAATATATTGAAATGTAGCAATTTTGAATACTAAGTCCATAATTGCATGATACCGGCGTTCAAGGATAAATATAATTACATGATTAAGTTAAGCATTGACTATTGAAATGCTTGACTTCTGCAATCAAAATGGAATTATCATTCTCCAACATGCCCATGCGAAATCATATGTGTCGCGACGTTTAAATCGTATAGCGCTGTGTGTTGTATAATGGCAAATCGCATGAATGATTCTATCGGATAACTTTAGTGTGAATAAAGAAGATTCTCTAAACCAATTTGCAATTGAAGCAGTTTGGCAAGATCTGACTTAAAAAACAAAATAGAACAATCATCACAGAATGCGTTCTTCATCAAATCAAACTTACAACGCAACTCTAATTTAGCGATAAATCCGTTTTCCAAAGCTTTATCTTACTATTAACTTGAAGTTTCATATACAATTGTCAAATTCGGAATTTATTGCATGGAAAATAATTTAAGTAATTAAACGAAACGTGATCACTATTTACATGTAATTTCACGATCATTCTATTAAGATGCTTTCTTTTTGGTGTTTGCACATTTGTAATGTCACTTAACATATTTATGCCACAAGAAATCTAAGAGTCAGGATTATATATTGACTGACAGAGTGATATATCAGTTTTTAAAAATTATGTGTTATATGTCTAGAATATGTTTAATTAATCGGTGGTTTTAGCTGTAGAATTAAATCACTACGAGTATAACTCAACACTTTTTCAAACTCAATAAAAACATAATTATCCAAAAATCGACGTGTCATAACAAAATACTTTGCGGTTTAGGTATAGAGCACTTGCCCATGCTCTGCTCTCCTCATTTCATATTAGAGTTGTTAAAATAATCACTGTGTCAGATTTAATTTAAAGATTCATTTAATACTATATTTGTTCCAGAACTTGTGCTATACCCCAGATGCACATTTATTCGTCTTTGTTTGTTTTACAACTTTGTATCTTTATATCAGATACAAGTAAATAAAAATATAATACTAGAGCAGTAACTTCCATTCTCAGATTTACCACTAGCCGTCAAGGTTATGTTTCAAGTTTTCTAATTCAAATTTTAAATCTATAAAGCCTCTTCTATAACTTTTTGTTCAAAAACGTAGTCGGAAATTTATTTTTAGATGAATGTATTTGCAAAACAATAAACATACTATGAAGATGACATTGTACATAAGTTTCATAATCAAGAAGTTGTTTCCTCAAACGACGCAACGTCTCGTTCTGCAAAATATAAAATAGTAAACCACTGAAATGATTTCGTTTGCTAAAATTAAAATAACCACGTGATCAAATAATATACGCTTGCAATGCACATATGCTTATAGTAATTCAAGCTGCAATATTTGCATGGAATTTGATGAAACCAGAATCTGCGGAACATATTCCAAAAAAGACAAAAAGGATAGAAACCAATGTTGTGTAATAATTTTATTTCGTCAATAAACAGGAGCGAAGGAAGATGATCTAACTTGGACTTGAGACTTAACAGTGGGGTATTTCATATCAGTGAAATTAGTCATATTGTGTCTTTCTAAAAAATGAGAAAATTCAACTTTTGTTAAATTGTTATTTTTATTAGAGAGGGACAATCGTTAGGTCATTAAAATGACAAATCCAAACTGTAATTTATAATATTGGTACAAAATTCAGACAAACATGAAATTATCATGAACACACAATTAACACAAAAAGTTGTTTCTTCAATAAAATGACAAACATTTATTTTAATGAATCTAAATTATTATGTTACCTTGTTGTTCTGACTCATCAACAATTGATCTTTTTCGCTTTCCTTCCCACCGCGGAGTAGCTATTCTGAACGCGAACAATCATAAATAATTTAGCAAAAAGTAGATTTTAATAATTTTTATTTAGGATAAACTTAGGAGGATTCGCGATATTGCATCATTGCTAAAAAGATGTGCAAACCTCACACACTTTTTGTTTTTATCTTGGTACTTTTGCCTAAATTTAACTTTCAGCAACTCAATCTCACATCTACCAACTTCCGCAGTTGGGATTTATTGAATTTTATTGCACCAGTAATCTCTAAACTTGGTAAATTATTGAATATACAATTAAGCGGAAAATGCAATATTAATCTCTCCTATTGATAGATATTAAATGTAACATTTCAATTGGATACCTTGTAGTTGGTCCTGGCGGAGGGGATTCCTGATTTTCATCTACAATGCTTTGAGCTGAGTTTACCATGTTGATCATCAGTGTACATATTATAAAAAACGTGCACCAGATAAACTTCATGCTACGATTGTGGAACAATCTCATACTGTGCAAATATGATTATTTCGAATATAAAAGGTTTTACTTGTAAATCACCAAATCGTAATACAAACCTCTTCTGTATGAACAAGTGCGTTACAAATTAATTAAATTTATCAGACTTGAACGTGAAATTGTGAGTAAATTTTGCTTTTAAAATGTATCAGACCGTTTGTTTGAGCTGAAAAATATTTTTATGTCTTTATATTGAAAGATTTTAAAAAAAAACAGACCATTCAAAAGAGTACTACTACTTTTCAAAATGTGAATTAGAAACACATGTATTTATTCATTGGCGCACCAAGCATAGATTATCATCTACTTCTTAATGTTATGGGAATATGACCATAATCTGATTTTTTTTTAATTTATCCGTTATGAGATCATCCGTATTTTTTTTAAATAATTTAGCAGAAATGTATCATTCAGTCAGTCGTTTCTAAAATATTAAGTTTGAATTACACTATGTGACAAACTTACTATTTATCCTTTAATGTTCTTCGATAGTAATCTTATAAATTAAATTATGAATGAAAGGTATTTTCTGTTTTTAAGGGTATCTAAAAAAGTGAGGTCATAGGTTTTAAATTATTACGAGAGTTTTTTCTTTCTTGTAACATGTTGTCTTCACAATTTTTAATAATGGACTTGCACTGATTAAAGCTATCGAAAAAATTAAGCCCCGACACAAAAAGGGGGCAAAGAAATAAACTACAAGACAATCTCAACTTTAATGCAATCGTCCGAAAGATTTCTTTAGGAATATACTTATACACGAGATAATTCTAAACTGCCCGAAAAGAAATTCCCTATATGTGCTTGTATTTGAATACATCAGATTGATATGCAACAGGAGCATCATATAATTACATAATGTGAAGGTAAATCATTACGGCACAACATTAATTTGTAGACTACAGTAATTTCGTAGACTATAGTTTACTACAAATAATTGATATCACGAGGATTGATGATTCGTGAGGATTTAAAATGCTCTTCTGCATTGATGGTTTAATAGGTTTCTTTATATCATCTAATTATATTGAAATGTAGCAATTTGGAGTAGTGATGTTTGAATACTAAGTTCATAATTGCTTGTTACCAGCGTTCAATGATTAAATATAATCACATGATTAAATTATGCAAAATCATTACCCGCTCAAACTCGACCATTTGTACAACTTCATTAACAGACAAAATATTTGACGTTGAATTACTCAACTCTCGAAATGTCAATGCTCTTCATAATTCGTTACTTGAATGTACGAAATGGTTGCCTACTAACTACTTGAACGGGGTAATTTCACAACACTCACGGAAATACAAGTTTCCAAATTATACCAAAGTGATTTGCAGATTCTTTTACTGCAATTTAAAAGTGTAATGTCACGTGGTATGGGGAGGCTAATGGGAGGTAATTCCAACAATAATTATCTTAATTCACCATCACCAATAATCTGAAGCACTTTAGTTCAAGTGAACGTGAACGCAAATACCACTCAGATCCCCAATACACATTCATACCTGTAAAATATTTGGAATCAAATCATTAAGCCATCAAAAGGATTCAAATGCTATAAATTGAAATTACAATATGCTGAAAATCATTCTGAATTCCGATCTTCCTTATGTTGGTATCATTGCCTTTGTGATATGGGGGTCTGTTATACCGTATTTTATTTCTTTTTGATTAGGAACTCATTTACCTTGTATTACTATATTTTCCTGGTTGGCACTGATGTTATGAGTTTTAGAGATTGAGTTTGCTTGTTCATTTATATTATAGATGAGATATTTTCTTATTTTTTTTTATGTATTTAGAGAAGTACAAAATTGATAATAAATATTTTTGTATTGAGGTTTCAAGTGATGTCTTAATATCTTTGAAATATATTCGAATGCACAACTTTGGGCAGTGAAGTTTGGAAATTGAGACATCATTTGCATGATATTCAATGAATAAATAAAAACACATGATTATTCTTGGCATCATGATTGAAATCTATGTTATTTCATTTTTAGAAAGTTGTTTTCTAATAACTAAACTGAAAAAAGAGCCTATGAAATCGGGCGTGGCTACTTTCAAACTGTTATTTCCAGTGTTGATGATGTGTGTTGCAATACTTATTGCGGCTCAGTTAACAGATGCAGGTCCAACAAGGTAAGTCTTCGAAGTGTTTTCATAACATGTTAGGTGAAACAATCATATCATCAAATTGCAAGATTACAAACATCAAGTATGTGTACCAATAGGGAGGTAAATAATTTTGTTCGCCTATTTTAAATCAAGTTGTGTAAAGGAACTGGAGTCTATGGGTAGGAGGTAAATTCACATGGCTATCACAGACAGTCCCCAAACTCGTAGTAGAACTAAAATAAGGGAAATCAAAATAAAATTATGACCTAACCCTAACCTGGTACACATACTACGGGAGTACCGAAAATGCAATAGTTATATATTTTTCTGTACATTTTAAGATTTCCTGAAGGCAGTCCGTGGTCTGTAAAGAAGAAAAGATCTGTTGACGATACGCAAAGTGATATAGGTAAGATATATTTCAAAAGACTGAGTAATAGGTTTTTATGCATGGGGTACTATCCAGGTAAATTGAAGTTCAACGTTGGTATGACTTCTTATATAAAGAAAGAGTTTGCTCAGCGGAGGTGGTTTACTTACGTAGATTATTTAGTTTTATAGCTTTATGCTAAATATATATATTTTTTTTAGGCATCGACGTTGCTTTCTTTAACATTCCTGAATGACATCAGTAAATATATGCAGCACCACATCACAGACAAAAACAAAAATGCAACTTCATATGAAATTGAGATTATGAATTATTTACTTTTTCTTGTTGCTTTTTTAATTTTGAAGTACAATAATAATAAAAAAATAAGATTTCTACAAAATGAATTTTAGTGATTTATATGCGATTTGAAAAGTAGCATATTTAAACAGATAGTGCAAGTCCATAAAGCAGGCATTTCCTACGGTTCGTAATAAAAAGATCGCGTCTTTTGTGTTTAGACAGCGTCCTATTGACAACCCTCAAATACGTAGAAATTAGGTAAAAACTTTGTTCATTGTTCTGAGTGCAGGAACATAGCAAAGTAATATTGATATTTCAAAATTGGGAAATTACGCACTGGCGGTTTAATTAATGAAATATATTCAAACGTATTAAAATACCACTTGAAACTTCAATACATAACTATTTGATATTACGAATCATCAATTCGTACAGAATCAATTCTTTTCAGTAAATAATCTGCAAAATTACTGTTGTGATGTAACAATTTATCTTCACATTATGACATTGGGAGAAATATATCAATTCATAGTGAATAATAAATGAATTCCTAATCGAAAAGAAATGAAAAACCCCAATATTAAAAAGTCTATGATATCAACATGAGGAAGCTCAGATTTCCGATTGATTTTTAACATATGTTAACTTCAATTTAAAACATTTCTACAACTTTCACAAACTTTTAATAGCTGAATGATTTGATTCTGGATATCATACAGGAATGGATTCATTGAGGACATAATTGGTACTTGCGTTTTCAATTGAACTGAAATAATTTAGATGGTTGGTGATGATAAATTAGGATAATTGCGCTTGGGTGATGGTTACATATCTAGTACTTCAATTCAACGTCGGATAACTTCCTAATTATCCTCTCAATACCGCGCGAGATTGTTCTTATATATTACAATAGAATAGAATGATCCATATATCGCTTTGGTATAATTTGGAAACTTGTATATTATTGTAAATGTTATGCAATTACCCCGCTCTAGTACACTATCATTCCATGCATTCAAGTAATGCATTAGGAAGAGCATCGACTTTTCGAGAGTAGAGCAATTTAACGTCAAGTAGTTCGTCTATTAGTGAAGTTGTATAAATATTTAAAATTGGGTAATGATTTTGCTTAACAAGTGCTTTTACTTAAAAATAAAATTTTCTTTAGTAGATTCTTCGCTAGGATTCTGCAAATCTTGATGTACATTGCTGCCCACAATTATCGTATCGCGGTAAAAACGTGTAATTAACATTAAACAAGCCAAAGTAAAATTATTATATAGTAGGTCGGGGTAAGTCGGACTCCCGGGGTATGATGGACAGGCAAAATAAAATCCTTCTAATAGCGACACCTCGCGTAAAAAGTTATTCAAAATAGGTTATTAGTGGGTCCGACTTCCCCTGGCCTACTATACTTTTAGCGACTTTCTGCAGAGTCGACTGGATAAAGAGATAATTTAGGTAAATGAGTGATTATATCGCACATGGTTGACTTTTAAAATGTAGCGTTTTCTGAGTTAGTTTATGACACGATGCCAAGACAACGCCTACCTACATATTATATCAATACAAACACTGCGATGCTGCACCTCATCAACCATTACTAGCATTAGATATACGTATTGTTCGGTACTACTTTGTTAGCCGATCCTAGCGGCTGTGTGATCACAGTTCTTCTGGTCAGAGTTAGGAACTGAATTCTACGAGAATGCCTTTATAAGATTGAGATCGCGATAAGCAAGTGAGATCGCTTACCAAAGTGGCACCTGATTTTCGTCATACGACGCTTTTCCACGCTTTTTGCTCCGAACGAAACCCTATCCAATCGACCACTCATATTCCGATTTTATTTCGAAGAGCCATTATGTTTACGGTTCGGCATTGCCTGTCCAGTGTGTACACCTTGGGTGAGATGGGGTCATGAGATTTGAATCCGAGATATAAGACCTACGACGCCCACGGAGCAAAGTATAAAGCTTCAACAGCAAAGCCATCGCGCTATTCAAGAATTAAGGAGTAGTCTTGGTGACTTGAATAAGTACTCATTATGCAATCACCAATATGTCATTTTAAAGTCAATTTGGAAGTATATAATAATAGTGATTATCAACATTACCCATTCATAATTGCATCCTAGAAGCATTAGGTCCTCAGTTACTGGATACAAAATTCATAAATTGAAACAGAACTTCTTCAAAAATCATTTGGACATACGAGTCTCCTCATGCTACTATCGCAGTTTTTGTGATAGGGTTTGTTCTGTTGTACCATTATTCATTTCGTATGAATGGAAAACGTATTAATTAATTCAGATTAGTATATTTCTTAGGGTCGGTACAACTGTTATACAATCTGGGATTCATCCCCGGTAAATCAACGTTTTTCCATTCAAATACACTGTAATTTTATAGTTTTTAATCCTTAACCAAATATCAGATATATAGTTTGTTTAGCTGTACTTAAAGAATGCGATAGTTTAGAACCTCGTAATATATTTGTTAGCAAGCTTTTATTGAAAAAAATTCATACTCTCTCATAATACAATTTCATATTCTATTTTTGATAAACAGCGTTTCATGAGAAAGTTAGCATTAAAGTATAAATGGCTGCGTTGAGAAAATGGATTTTTGTTTTGGCTATGTGTGTAGCAATATTGTTAGGAGCTCAAGAAGGGAACGCAGAACATCCATTTTACGGACCAGAATCAAGGTAATGTACTAAACAAATCTTTTTAAGCAATTTTTGAATGTTGATTCCTGTTTCTTCATTTTTGAGAGAACCCGAATCCCAATGCAACTTGCACAAATTTTTTTTAATCGTTTTCATTATCCTTGGTTTCAATTGTTGATGATATAATTAAGAGTACCAGGCGGAGAAGCACCATGGAGTGGAAAAAAGAAAAGATCTCTTGAAGATGATATGAATGATCTAGGTAAAATTAATTTCAATATTATTCAAAAGATGTAATTTGGCTGCTACCAGAAGGGGATTTATGCATGAGAAGCCCAACTTTCTGTAAAGCAGGTTCTTGTGCATAATTTTTGAGAAACTTCATATATTAATAATCCTTGCTTTAATTTGGTGATATTTTACAAACATGTGTTTTCTGTTTCAGACATGGATATTATTCTGTTTGGAGATATTAACTCGCCAGATGAGCATCAATAACTTCACGCTAGTCGGGAGATATCTACAATATCCACAATAAAACGAATCAACGACGTCACGGCCCATTTTAATTTCTGATTTTAATTTTACACGTAGTTGTGTAAGTTGTTTGTTTGGAACATGAAATAAATTTTTATCACTTTACGTTTGTGCTTGATAGTATCTCAATATAGCAATTAAAGGCGAAGGCAATATGATAGGAAAGATACACTAGAACTCCTATTGAGAATAGATTCCTAACAAACTATTATTGTCTTGGGTTCGAGAAGGATGACTGGGCCCACGTCTGAGCCTTTGGAGCATTCTCTATTCTGTACCTTAAGCAGCGTTGTAAAATTTACCAAGTAAGTGCCTACTTTTAGTTCTTCTCTCAGTTTTTGCTTGCAACGATTATGCTAAAAATCTGTTCAATTACATACATATGCTCACTTTTTGTTTCAAATATCTTGCTGATCGAATTGAATAACGAAAAAATTGACTCTGCGGCGTGGAGCATATTCCTAAGCGTTAGAAATATGCTCACCACCTCATCTCTGATTACCTTGCGAATTCAATAGAGAATAAATTATATGCGGGGAGATTGCTGGATTCCTCGCCGCCGTAGGTTGGTTCAAGTAACTGTTAGTCGGATAAGGCTTCCTCCCCCATCAAGTCCGAGTTAAGTCAAGTTTATTTTTTCCAGCCGGTAAAAAATATCTCACGAGCACATATTATGCATCTGAAAAACACATAACTGACTAACTAATCGATCCCATACGCGACATGAACTGGTAACAGTGCGAGAGACCGTGTTTCACCACATGATTGAGCTGTATTATCGGCTTTCCTCGCTCGCAGGATAAATTTGTAAATCCTATCCCTCCTATAATTTGAAACAATTTCCAATATAAGGATTATAATGCATGCAGTGAAGACGTTCAGTTCAGATATCATCACTAAAATATCATTATTTCAATTGAAGACAAGAAATTTTCAAACAAATTTCATTTAATGTATTGCAAAATCATTTATCAAAAATAATAATCAACAAATTATTAAACATCATTTAATTTTAATTTTTGCATCGAAAAATTAAAAACGAAATGTGTCAAACATCCTTAGAATATATTGAACGATTCACTCGAAAACTTCCGCCTCTATAAAGAGTGCAATATCTGCAAAAAAAGAGTAAAACATTCAATTACTTGTGAAGCAAAAAGAAATAAATTTTGATAAATCTGACAACATGACAGTGCAAAATATATTCGATAAACCTAAAATAAATTGAGTTACCGACTGAAATTTTGTTTATAAAAAGGTAAATCGAATTTAAAATTCGTCCCTTTTTATTAATTCAATAGAATATCCAATAACATTTTAATAAAGCGATACTGGAGCTTTTTAGGAAGCCTGTGCACCTTTGTAAATACTTAATTCAAAATTCTCAATATTTTACTCAATGTTTAGCATTATTACGCAATAGAAAACTGCTTTGAAAATATGGTTTCTGAAAAGCTTATGTGAAATTCTCCATGGCCAATAAGGCAAAAATAAAAATAGATCTCTGTTCGTAGAATGGCCCAGCACGAATGTATGAAAGTAATTTTGCACGCGCCTAGATTTTCATCATTGTCCACTGTTGATCTTTTCTCTTTTCCAAGCCATGCCGGGGCTACCGGATATTTAATACAAAATATTTATTATTTTATTGGAAAAATATATTGCATAGTTTGATTTCATTTTATCAAACAAAAATACCAGAATTCACAAAATGTGTCATTTTGAGTCACTTATTTGCTACTATGAAAACTTAATTTATTTAAAATGTAGACAGAATGCCATGTAAATTGGTTGATACTTCTAAGCAAAATCAATAAATCACTACCTTGAATAAACTGTGCCATGATCAGCCCAAATTTCATCCTTGCCATTGAAATTGGGAATGTGTATGAAGATA